ATTTTCCTATCTCTGCCCACGGGCCACGGTAACGCTTTAGTGAGCCGCCAAGTACATCCCAACTTTCGTTGCCATTTTTCATAAATATATCTCGTTTTTCCGGCTGGGCAGTATTTTTAAGCAAACACGTCGGTCACTACCTCAAGCCGATGAATAACTTATGAATCCTCTCTTTTCTCTCACTCAAATCACTTTGGTTTACTTAACAAATAGAGAAGCCTTGACTGTGCTCTGTTCTGTTATAAAGCACGCAGGAAGCGGCAAGAGCACGAAAGAAGTGTAGGGAGAAACACGAGACGTAGTCGAGTGTTTCTTCCCACTTCTTGAGTGCTCTAGCCGCTTCCTAAGTGCTTTATAACAGAACAGAGCACAGTCAAGGCTTCTCTATTTGTTTTATAATAAAGGATCCGTTTAAGTACCCAAGCATTACTTTCAATTTCCAAAACAAACTTTATTTCCAAAGCGAACAACAGTGTCGTCAGCATGCTCTATACTCTCATAAAGCACGCTACAATAAGCCAATCAGAATCCCTGTTAGAATGGTTCAAATACTCTGATTGGCTGTACAAGACTAAAGCTGTCAAAAGTGTCAAACCATCAAAGTTCAAAACCATCAAAGTTCACATTCTAGTATACAAACTAAAATAGTTCGGCAAGTCGAATTTAACACTTTTGCTTGAAGTTTTTAAGTCTCTAATACAGAATCTTGAAGTAAAATGTTCAGTGAACTTCAGCCGAATTATGGCTCATAAAAACACGTGAGTTTTTTCGCATGACAAGGTAGAAAACAAACTGTTCAAGGCGAGTGTTTTTTGAATGAACGACAGCCGAATTCACCGGAACATGAAGATCGCTCGGGATGGCAGCGCCGCAAAACTCGAAGGCCGGCCGATGTAGTTTCTGAGGCTTGCTTTACCGTGATGACCGGAGATCGCCATGATGAGCGAGCCGCGATGAACTTCAGCATGATCAGACACCGTCGCTCAGACACCGTCGCTCAGACACCGTCATGATTAGTATGAATTTTAACAGTTATGCCAGTTTGGTTATATTTTTCATCATTTCTGTTTTGTTCTGTTTTGTTTTTGAACACTGAACTTTATATACTATACGAGTGTTAGCTGTGTTTGATTTTTATTACCGTACGTAAGCTTGCAATCTAACTGAGCGTGAAAATCTTTAAAATTCGGAATGTCTATTTTGTTTTTCCTTTTGGATTTTCGCATCTGCTCACGTTGTAATCACGTAAATTACGGCGCCTGGTATGTTTACAAACCTTTGTTTGGTCCTTCTGTTGCTACTTGCCGGCTCTCTTCAGTTCCGAAATTTCACTTTCAGTTATCGGAAAAAAAGCTAAAAAGAAGTCTCGGAAGAGGTCGAACATAGTACAATTTGACAGATGGCGTGACAGCTTTAGCTCAGCTCTATGCTCTATACTCTCATAGAGCACGCTCTTTCAACCAATGACAGCACGCGTTATATCCGAACTTTATTATAAATAAAAATATTGGTTTCAGAATGAATTTGTATAAGCAATAGTGTCATTACGTTGGTTGACAAGAGGCTTAAAACCCGTCTGCAATTAATTTTAATCGTTCACAAAAAGTACCTAGAAAGTTAAAACGCGAGGTAATTGGTTACAATTAAACTGAACGATGGAACTTTCATTCATTTAACACCTGAATTTTCTCAAGCAATTTGTTCGCAGTGAAAGAGCGAGCGAAGTTTTAATTTAAGTTCTACAACAAATATACGCTCTCGGTGAGTTTTTCCAAATCCGTTCAATTTGAACATTTGTACCGTAAATTGCACGACAGAAACTGAAGGAATTTTTGAGAAAAGGCCGCATTAAATTTGGAGTGTGCCATTCGAATTTAGTTTTTGTGAAGGAAAGACCAGATTTACACACGCCATTACAGCAAATAAACAAGCAAACTCTCACAACTTCAAAATAAAAAAAATGAATTTACTCACAATTATTTTCCTCGCCGTTTACTTAATGAACAGAGGTAAATCTTCGTACATGAATGAATCGTCGATGAGAGTGAATAATACTTTCCGTCAGATCATTGACTGTTTTTGAAGAAAACATTGTCGTGACAGTCCTTGCCAAACTAGTTCCGTTGTTTTTCAAATGTTCTTACGCTTTTTTTTTTACTTACGCGCTCTCTAATTGACAGGTGTCAGATAGTGACAGATACTTGTAAAAATTAATGTTTCAAAATTTGTTTGGAAGCCTTTTAAATTATCGTTACGGAAATTAAAATGTTTCGCTGACGCATCTCTCTTGAATTTGCATCACCTCTATTTTAACTACCATTTACTCGCTCAAAAACTGTTCAGTTTATGGAAGATCTTGCCGTATTTACAGCCCTAAATCATTCGGGTTCTTTCAGAAAGAATTTCGTAAAGTTTCAAAAAAATAAATATGTTATTTACCGGCTAAGGGTCGGTCCGTATGATGAAAAACTGTGACCTCAGTCTTGAAAATGCTGCCCTCGGCCTACGGCCTCGGGCAGTATTTTCAAGACCTCGGTCACAGTTTTCCACCATACGGACCTCCCAGCCAGCAAATGACATATATGTACTTTACACATTATTTAACTCAAGAGCTAAAGGAATTGAACCTTACAAGTGTAGTTCAATATATGTCAATGTCCGGGCCTTATTTCTTAGCCAATACTCTTGGGGTACCTGATGGTGAAAATCCGAAATGTTTCTTGAGTTTTTCGAGAACTTTCGTATATTTATGTACATGTATGTTTTGAATGACTCCTACTTAATAGATTTAAATTTTCACTGAGATTTGACATGAGTTAGCTTCCACTGTCTCTTAATTAATCTGTTTTGGCGGGATTTTTGTAGGTGTTTTGTTTTAGAACTATCGCTGTTCTAAAGCGGATGGCAAAGTAAGCCCAAAACGGAAGTATTTTATGGGAAAATTCCCTTGTCTTGAATGACAGATGAGGTGACCGCATCGAAACCTTTGTTCCCTTACTATACATTCTTTTCCCCAAGAATTTAATACCTTTTACCGTTTTCAATTTAGTACACCCGTAATATCTAGAATCTCCAAACATTACTAGCTTTCGGATATTTCGGTAGTTTCGGTAATGGTTTTCTCGATTACAGGTTTCTCAAAGAATGGAAAGCGAAAGCATCCGCAAAGGTAGAATTCCCTTCTCTTGTTTCGCATGCATCGGATTACTGAAGAGGCGTCTGAACAGGACAGATAAGAGGACCGTAGTGAAAATTTCGTCCCCTTACAACCATATTTATGATAACTTGAACTTTTGAGAACTGTTAGCAGGAAACTCCAAAGGTACGAAATAGGTGTTACAGAGTGTTACACGCATCATCAGAAATCGTATTTGGAGAGTAAACGGCCGACAAAGGTCAAATCGAGGATTTGGCTCTGTTGATCGTCTATCGCAATCAAATGTTTTTTAAATGCTTTCTATACCTGGACATCAACATACAATTTACAGTTTCACAATATCCAAAAAAATGGAGGGGATAAATTTAAATAGCAAATTCTATTAATGGTTAAAATTAAATAACATTGAAAGATCAAGTGAACTTTGCACTTTTTAAAATACAGTTTTGGTTTCTTGCTTATTCCAGCCTCTTAATATTCAAAAGCATTCCTTATCATTTTTGTGTTCTTTTGTGTAACATAACTTGAAAAATAATTACAGAGAAAGGAAACCACAAAGGATTAAACTTGAAGCTAAAGCAAAGTTTAATTTGAGCCATAGCTGATCCAAATACTAAGCACTTTATATTATAACCCATTTAGCAGTAAAGTACATCTATATGTCTGCCAGCTTGTCACAAATCTTACTCCTCTCCTCCAAAAGTCTCGATAAACAAATTTTTCTTTGTGGTCCCTAATTGATGATAAGTATATTACAGCTCCTCAATTTCCCTCTCTCAAGACAAGGTAACTCTAAATTTAACAAAGTAATGGACTTGATAAAACTCAAACTATAACTCAGCTAGCTGCTAATTGCAGCCTTTATTTCTTGATATAAGTATACAATAATCAATATGTTATGAATAATAACCCTAATGCTTAATTTTGCAGTGATCACCTTCCTCCTTTTCATTTGCAGACCAGACTGGAACCTTCATAGGTGTGTTTGCTTGTTTTGAGTGGGGATGGAAGAAAAGGAATCATGCTGCATACCTCATTTATTAAACCAGATTTTTTCTGTTTATACATGAGTAGAACTACCTTGTTCTCTGAAAAAAATAAAATTTATCTGTGCTTTGCAGTTAAACTTCCTTGTGTCTTGAACAAGAAATCTTCTTTCCTTGAAAACAAAATCTTTGTTTCCAGCCTTCTGTAATAGGTAAACATAACAGCGCAAGATGAGTGATAGTGTATTTCTCAAGTTATTTTTTGGAATGTGACGAAACGGAAGTGTCATAGCGTGATAAGGAGCCAACATATGATTGTTTGATAGAAAGAAAAAGACGCAGAATTGCGTATATTTTCTCTTTTGTCAGCAGCATACATTAGTGAAAAGTTCTTATAATTGTTAACTTCTAAACCATTTAGCCGAGATTGAACTGTTATCACGTTTGTCATAAAAACATTCTGAAATGAATGTTATATGACCCATTCATGTGTGTATTTGACCTTTCGGATTAGCAAGCCATAAGTGACAGTAGTAACACAAAGGTCGCGGATAAAAAGAAAATATTATGTACAGTACTTCTTCTGCATCTTTTCGTTTCCTTTTCTCTTCAGCTGTTCTATCTATGCCATGCTGTCAACTGAACACTTTCCTTCCTAAAATTAGGAAAGGCACAACAGTAAAAAAACGAATTTTTGCCTTTAAATATCTCGTGCATCTTCCCAGAGTATTTTGTAACTTCTGACTGAGGAAGGAGGTGTAAGCATTAAGTTAACCGAGTGATTCCACAATTATGGTATCATCCAAGCCATATATATATTTGTATATGTATATACATATATATTTATATATATACATACCAGTGTTTCCGGAACCTATGTCAGCTTTAAAGCAAGAGAACTTCGCTGTCAATCCTGTTTCAAACTCCGCAATAAGTTTATAAGCCTCATCAACAGAATTAACGTATCCTAAATTATCCGCATGTCTACCATCAAGCAAACGTTCACGCTTTAAAATACCGCCTTGCTGTTTCTGTTTGTTCCTCAAGAATCATGGGATTGACAGCTTCGGATGTTCGGTTACATCACTCGCGAATTTCCGAGAATATTCGGTTATGTTCTGCAAGTCATTAAATATTCCATCTCAGTCCCTCTCGACCGAGGTGGTTTTGGTGGATGGAATCTAATGCTGACCTGTGTGGTACGCTATACCATTCGACATTACGCTGAGCCATTTCACGCAACGCTACACCGTTTATGCATACGTTATGCTACTCGACATTAACCTGAGCCATTTGACGCAACGCTATACCGTTTGTGTACCGTATTGCAAATGAGTGCTTAGCTATTCGTAATTGAGCTAGTCCATTTCACTATTTCATGTTCCAACTCGACATGGGCAACTGGACCGTTTATCATTTGGCTAGACTATTCATATTTAGGGTGTTCTTTTTCATGAAGGAAAACTAAACCGTCTATAATTTGGTCATGCCATTCTTTTATTAGCTATTCTATCTTGCAACTGATCTTTAAACTAGCTTTGTATTTGCTGATCTATTTAAAATCCTTGTATTTTTGGTGGTGACGGCCGCCCATATATTCGGTTCTAGGTCTTTGGTCTTTGGTGTGTAGACACCCCATCGCATTAGCAACTTAACACAAAACGAACACGATGAATATCATCAATATATACTCACAATTTCAAGAAACTTTTTCGGTAGAAATTCAGCTGATGGATCGAGTCAGAAGAGTAGTGTTAACATTCATTGAGCTGAGCGTGCTAATTTCTATGTGCTTGTCACATGCTTGTGATCATCCTTATTTTTTGACTGAATACCATCTCTTGTTTACATGCTCCCGTCTTCTACCCCTTCCCTTGTTACACGATTTTTACATTCAGATTGTGCTCGGATTTTGTCCCTTTTCTTTTGACTAAGTGTCTTGTTTACTTTGCTGGGTTGAACCTGTGATGCTTTTCAAGCAAAAATCATTTAAGCGGAGATTAGGAAGAGGATTCAAGCGAAAGAAGCTTAGGAATGCCGTTGGCTTGACTTCAGTCAGCTCCTACTACGGAATCCAGCACTGTTGGAAGTGTCTCAAAGAAACCCTATATAAAAAAAAAAAAAACTTCTCAATTAATTGATGAGGAAAATCACTTTGCTTACTAGTGAACCCACTGGTAGATTCGCACCCGTCCAAACACTCAGTGGTGATTAAAACCCCGGTAAACAAATGTCGATTGTCGCTTACGACAAGTTAGTTGAAGGAAAGCACGTAACATTCAAATCCTACTGTGTCTATTTGTGACCTTCTTAACAAAATAACAATAACAAAAATAGGTAATGAAGGTAATGTATTTAGACCACGCAAATAGGTCATACAGTGCGATAATTGCGCTTCTTGGCAGTATTTTACTTATTAGTCTGGTATGGACCGAAGAACACACTGTTTCCCGGCCGCCATAAAAGGACGAGAAGATTGGCGATGCTGTGTGCTCTATAATTTGATGGCTATTGGGCGACACGACGGAAACCATCACGCGCAACCTTGCCCTAGTCTAAGATAGCGTTGCGTGATAGATCATGTAACGCCAGCTTATGAATGCCTTACTGTACAAAGAAATTGTCACCTTGAATAGCAATGTCTCTTGATGTACAATGGAGGAGCAGCACATTTCTCGGATGGAGTGCATTGCTAGCTGGGGACCGCCAAGGTCTAAAAACAGATCATAAATAAAGTTTGCAATACTCAAGATGAATCTGGCTTGTTATTGGTTTACCATGTACTTCCAGATATTTAGCTTAACCTCACTCAGTAATAACGCACTTGCTTTCCTCGGTTTAAACTTCTGGCTTCATCCCAATTTTTTGAAGACTTCTTATTTCACTTTTCATATTTTTCCTAAGTTTTAAAAATTCTGATTATTCACCAAATTTTCATACTTCTTTGAGAATGCATGACTGTTAGGAAACTGTCTACATCACTTCTGGTGTAACCCAAACACAAGAGCCTGCTCACAGGCTAAACAGATGGCAGTGACATGTCTTACATCTGACCATAGAATGCAGGTAACCAACTTTTTACTCATGTGTTTAGTGGGTAACGTACATTTGTACATCAACTAAATTCAATTAGCTAATTAACAACTAAATTCAATTACCTAAGGTTAATAAACCAAGCTTGGCAGACAGGATGGGGCCTATAGTGGTTCCACATGGAGAATCATTACGCACACAAACTTCCTGTAATTAAAACAAAATGCAATGGAATTAAAACTACTGCTCGGTACTTGTAGAAGTTCAAGCAAAGGTAACCAATTGTGACAATTTTTTTATGTAACACATCCCAGAACTTTTACCTGCAGTGGAACCTCACTCTTCTCTGCAATCAGCCTTAAAATGCTTGAGGACAATGCTGTTGTTGCATATCGTTGGTTACTGTTAATTTTTATTACTGGACCCTAAAAAAAAAAACAACAAAGATAAATGAATTGTACAGGATATACCATGACGTGAAGTTCAAAATCATGTCACACCCCTGAGTTTGTGGTTTAACATTGCCATGTCAGTGTGAAGGAAGAAAGGATGTTGAACATTTAAATAACGTGTCCAAGATTGAATTGATTTAAGGAAAAAGAGGAGCAAAAATACTTTCCCTTAAGAAGACACCACAGCTTTTGATTCCTGCAGAAACCAAACCTTCTGTTCCTGACTGACTAATCTACAGAGAAGTTTGTCACTCCTAAACACAAGGGTTGTCGAGGGAATTTGAGAAAGTTGTGCAAGCTCAAGATGTAGTTCAGGGTCTGCTCAATTTTCTCAAATCATCCCCAACCACAAAGTGTTTAGATGAGGCTAATAAAAACAGGGAAAAAAGTTATCTATTGGATTCCTAAAATATATCTCCGAAAGCATAGAGAGTATGACATCATAATTGTCTCAAATACTCTCCTCCAAATACACCAATCAACCAATGAGAGCAGGTGACTACTATCTCAAGTATTTTAATTATTAACAGTTCTGTTTGTCAAGGCCTCACCTTGTGGAGAGCAGGTTTATGGTTCTCTTCATGTTTTTCTCTACAACAGAAAAGAAGAAAAACCAGTTGTTCATACCCAACCCAAAATGCTGACCTATCACCTGATTAAGGCTAGAAGTTTTCACTCAACTACTGAAGTAACGGCTGATGAGATAAGTTTTTTTATTCCACAACATCCAAAAGCAAATTACAATAAAACAGCTTACAGGGCTATCATCCATATTAACCTATATTTGCCAACTAACCACGCTATCTGAAAACTCATGTGCAAGTCAAACATAACACATTGCAAGAGGCTTTTAACCACTTTGATGCCCATGACTGATCAGCATCTCATTTCTCCCTATGATATAACCCCTAAATCAAACTTTAGGGCCACAAGAATAATTAGGAAATGATCACCAATGAAAGAAACTCTTGATTGCTGAACAAATTCTCCTTCCCAGTCCCTTAGGGAATGTATAGAGAATAGAATGGAGCATATGCATATTGATGTTGAGGGTTTGAAGGCTTCCAAGTTAAGGATACATACGAATAGTTTGGATGCACTGCATGGGCTTGGTCAGCACTGAGAAGAAATGACTTGGGTATTGCTTCTTCAAAACTTGTAGCTGTCCCACCTAGGTTTCAAGCCAAAAAATCATAGCATTAAAAGCTGCGATTGCTCTATCACTGAGCCACTGAGACTCTACAGTATGCTTGACCACTACAAGGTTCATATATTATGTAAAATTAATGTGATCAAATTGAGAACAACTGACCTGCTGACAAGCGACGCAGAATATGCTCCGTGAGCATTGACTCTGCTCCTTGGGCACTCCCAGAACCAACCTGTCATCAGGATGTTTTAGTAAATTAGTTTACAGTACACTGAATATGCATTGATGGAAGTTACTAAAAACTTGATTGATTAACTGGCATTGGATCAGTTGTCTTTGATGTCATAAACATGTACTTGACTGATTATGTACCTCTTCATTGTCATACAAAGTTATTATTCGGATGTTGGGATCTGATGCCAAAGATGGACCTTCCAGAGATTGAATAAGGCCCTAAAAGTTAAGGAGTACAACATTGTCAATGAAAACAACTCAAGTTTGAAATTAGGATGGCTCAGAATGATCTTTACTATGTTAAACACCAATTCTTTCAATTGATGGATTGTAACTTACCAGTATGCACAACTTTGACTGAGGAATGTACAAAAGCATACCAGGATTTTTAAAGGAACACTTGGAAAAGTGCGGTGGTATATATATACCAAAGAACTGGTGTTTAAAATTAGCAAAGCCAGGTTGAAGCACCTGAACATATACATACAAGAACATGGATCATTATTTCAGAATTGACAAATGGTTTTGGTTTTCTGAAAGGAATATTCTCTCCATGTAGCTCTAAATCAAAGACTCACTCTACCTGTAAAGCACAAAAACAGCTGACTTGGTTGTCCAATCTTGGTGAAAAAATAAACTCTTCCAGTGCACCACCAAAAGTCTAAGAGAGAAAAAATAAAATAGATTAATTAAAGAGAGCCTAAATAAAGTATGGTTGAAATGCAAAATCAGGGGTGTGGCTTGTACAATTTACCACAAGGAATAAGGGGATTAATATTTAATGTTAAAAATTCCTTAAGTGAAGGGGCTCATACCATCTTGTATTGACATACAGTGAGGATTGGCAAATGGAGTAACTAGCAGTGGTAAGCATTTATGTCATGCGAATTATTTGCATTAGCCCATTTTCAAACCTGAATTTTAATGTTCCTATGTTGTTGGCTCATTCCAACTAAAGGGGTGTAATGGGCAAACCAGAGGACCCCCTGGCTTTACCCATGAAATTAAGGGAAATAACAGCCAGTAATTTGCTATTCTTTGGAATGTGAGTCATTTAGTACAATGTTTTCCCCATGAATGAAAAGCCAAATCCTTTGACACCCAAGATCTGAGCTACTAATGTTCCATTATACTGATATTAATCTCTTTGAAAATTGGGTAGTTTAGTATATTATCAATTAAGTTGATCACGTAAATTGGCCAACTTGAATGTGAAGAGTTTCAAAGCTAACATTTCGAGTGTTAGCCCTTGGTCAGAGCTAACATCAGCTTTGAAACTCTTTATGCTGGCCAATTTACATTTTGATAATACTAAATACCCTGTTATACTCTCCTACTGATGCAGCACCACAGTTTCTTTAGAAACTTACCCCCTTAATTCAATTATCTTTGAAAATTGGTTGAGAAAATAAGGTTTTAAAATCAAGGAAATGACTTCTGACATTGTCATTACCAAGTGAATGTTTCTGTTTACTTAGCATTTTAAAAGAGGTGATACATGACACTAAACAGGTTGACTTGTATATGTAAAACAGAATTTACAAGAGAAGGACCCCCTGGAGGTAAAGTATAAATATAATTCTAACCCTCTGCACCCTTAAATTCTCCATACTGTTCTCCATACATTTTGAAGGTGCTGACAAAGAGAATTTGTTTGACAATCAGGATTTTCTTTAGTTGGTGATCATTTCCAACTTGTGACCTCATTGTGTGATTCAGGGGTCATATTGTAAAGAGAAATTAGATGCTAGTCATACACTCTTAGCTGTAAAGAGACTTTTAGCATGCAATCTTTTAAACTTATTGCACATGAATGATGACATGATCAGAAATTGATACTCACAGCAGGCTGGCTGTCAGCCAGGTGCAAGTCAAAGTCCATGATTTGTTCTTGTTCACATTTCAACTCCTCTGTTAAGAGTTTGATTAGAGTTGACTGATGAGAATTGCTCTAAAGAAATAAATTAGTAAATTCAGTGCCATAATTAAGTAAATAAAGAAACAAATATGTAATGAATGAATTTATATCTTACAAGGTGCAATACAATCAATCACGTAGTGCAATTGTTGATCCAGGAAAGAATTGTTGTCAGTAACAATGAATTAAATATTGGCAACCTGAACAGGAGACATCATTAGTGAGTGTATTGCAATTCCCAGGTTGAAACCATTAACTGTACATCATAAATGGATAATTACTCACCCTACATTTTTTTTCCTTGGGCTCTTTGTCACTGATGTCATCTTCATTGGCTGAATTATTCACCAGACTTTCATATACACAAGTTGATAAGATAGGTGCTCTGGAATAAGAGAAAGACAACTCGCTTAAGTTTGTTCAGATATAACTTAATTTACTGTCAGTACTGATCATGCACCCCATGACTCTGTGTTCATGACCACATCAGCTCATCAAGTAAACATATTTACAATAATTCTACAATATAAAGCTTTTCCTTTTTAATAAACCAAGAAAACTATTGATCAGCAGATCTGTTTGATGGACTGTTTCTCATATCACAGTCTTTGGCTTCTTAAAACTATCACTTTTTTCTGCCACTAGAATCTATGCTCATCTAGCATTGTCTGTGTTACAACAACGTTATTCAGATACTCTTGCACTGAACTTGGGCTTTCTGTGGCTTGAATTAAGTTACTTACATGTGAGTTTCTTTATTTGGTGAGAACTTGTCATTGATGTCGCGCTGCAGATGAATTGCCAGATGTGGAATACGCATGATTGGTCTGTCAATGTGAACTAAATGGTGCTGCAATTTATCACCTTTCTGTTGCATGATCAATTCAAACCAGGAAGAAATAGGAAATAATAATGTTAATATGATCAGGTGGAGTCCAATTCAGTCTGTATTCAATGCAACATTATCATCACCAATTTTATTGAAACTTGTATTATGCAAGCAATGCACAAAAAATATTCTTTGTTTTTCTCTATTTTCTCTTTTAAGTGATGTCTCAAGGCAGAATCTAATGTTGGAAGTAAATGCTACAGTATAGTACCTTAATCATAATTCTGCCAGCCAATTTCAAATCCCTGTCAAACCAAGTGGCCCAGATTCCTCCTCCATAACATTCCACCCCAACTTGTTGATATCCGTTGCTGCTCTTCTTTGAATTTGGCTTCACCTGTTCCAATATTAAGTGTGTTAAAAAATTATGTGCCAGAGTTATTTTCTCTGCTTTCTGATCTGCTCCTCTCTCAACCAATCCACTTATATCTTTCTCAACATCTCTAACACTGGACAGTGTTTTTATTAAGGAAAATGAATAAAGAGGGTAAGTTTCTGAAGAAACTGTGGTGCTATACATTGGTAGGAGAGTATAACAGCAAATCAAGTATTATCAACTGAGTTGATAACCTAAATTGGCCGCTATAAAGAGTTTTAAAGCTGGACATTTTGAGCATTAGCCTTTTGTCGGAGTGATTGACAAAGAGCTAAACTCTTTATGGTGGCTAATTTACAATATAA